CCCTCTGCGGTTGTCTGCTCTGAGGATACAGAGTAGGTCCCTAGTGAGAATTCTATGTATTCTATAATTAATAATTCATTAGCTCATTGCTAACAGAGAGCAGTCTTGTGGAGGGACTGACACATTAGAAGTTTGGCGCAGTCTTTTCACTCACCCTTAATGAGGTGTTTATAGTTGATTATGTAACAATAATACTATATTCAACACCGACTTTCTACTCTTCCTTTCCACCACTGTCAAAATGACTCACTAGACTTCTTCTCAGAAGAATTCTGACTTTTCAGTAAACCATTAACACCATATACACTGTTCAAAGACTGAACATTATTGTTTATCACTAGCTTTGAACAAAAATAATATATTGCTAAGTAGATTTGAGATGTGCTTAAAGTATTAGTTAAAGATGAAGTGCAGAAGCACTTAGTCTACACAGCATGAGCCAGAATCACACTTACTTGCATTTTTGCCAAGACTTAGATGAGAAGACCAATACCACTCTCGTGTCTGTATGGTAAATATGAAGCTACAGTCAGGACACAAGCCTGTCAGCGCAAATACTAAAAAAACAGCTAGTATAGCTCTGCCCGAAGGTAACAAAAAATCCAACCACCAGCACCTCTAAACTCACTAATTAACAGGTTATATGTCATTTTTTAATCTAATTAATGCTAAGTCTATCTCCCCCCTGCTTCAAATGTTTATGCTAACCTATGCTAACAGTCTCCTGGTTGTAGCTTTATAATTTACAGACAGAGAAGAGCAGCATCGTTCTCTGTTTCTAGTCTAACTCAAGAAAGCAAATAAGTGTATTTCTCAAAATGTCCAACTATTCCTTTAATTGTTGAATGTCTGCATCAGTCTTCAGCAGTTATTATAGGATTTGTTCCCTTTTCTCCAAATATGTGCTAATAAATCAGAGAAATGTGTGTTTTAAGAGATTCACAGATATCTGATACAATCTGTGTCCTTCTAGCATGTTAGCAGCTGGAGAAAGGTGTGGGCTGTTTAATATTATCTTTGGATCAATTGACATGTCCGCTTGCTGGTGTTACTCTTGTCAAGTAAATTGAAAACAGACAGTGGTAACTGTCATAAATGTTACTGTGGTGGTTACATACACTATTTACTGCCTTCCCAAGATCAAGGTTGGAGGGGTAGAGATACTCCAGTTGCCCATGCCCACACAGTTTTGTAAATGCACTTCACTCTGTGTCAGGGGGTTACATAAATGAATATTTACATTCTCAAAACTTGTAGAGTCTATGTAGCCACTGAGAATTAGAACATAAAACTATACATAACATATATTTTCATTTAATGGTTTTCCATATGTGTTGTGTGTTATGTATTTGATTGGGGGCACCATGTGCCATGATCCATGGAAATAAGGTGTCGACAGCACTTTGCATTGATAGGGCATGCCTTCCTGCAGGATCAAACCCTTACGAATAGACCCTATTAAGTAAACCCAGAAATCTGCGGTAAGAGCCTTTAGACTGACGACCCCCTTCTGCTACTGCAGCTTCCAGTCTGTATGACATTAATATTCATTTTCTTGGTTTTAACGAAGCAGGCAACAAGCATGGGGTGCCCCGGGAGCACTGAGTTTAGCATCAATAGAGATACAGTCAAACAACCAAACAGAGGGAGGAAGTTGGCTGTCTCCTTCCCCTGGGCTCCATATTAATGAGATAATGCCACACTGCAGCCAATTACAGCCACTCACAGACAGATGCCTTTGGTCCAAGTGGCCTCCCACCATAGACTCAACCCCCATCTCCTCACAGTCACCATTCCTTTACATGAGCATACATACATACATACATCATGTCCCCCTGACAAAAATCCATACAGGATATACATTATGTATGTTTTTACAGATAAAAGCCACCAACAGTGGATTAGTTAAAAAGCTCAAGGGCTAAAAACCAAAAAACCATATGACATAAAATGTCCCTTTAACCCATATCTAGATCCTACATGTTAGAAACATGCTTTATTTGATTCACTTGTTAATTATCCATTCATCTGTTCTCTGAACCGCTCCAATTCAGGCTTGTGAGAGTGGAACCCATTCCAGTATGCACTGAGCAAGAGGCGGTGTACTGACTGAAGAGGTCACCCGACTGACAACCATACACTCACATTCACAGAGAGCATGCAAATTCAAAACACAAAAAGGCTCAATACTTTCTTGCTGTGAGGTGACCACCTTCAATAGTCAGTCATGATTCATCAAAACATTGTAAGTTTGGATATGGCTTCCAATAAAGATGCCGTTATACAGCAGTCCCAAACAGAAACCCTATAAAAGGTTCATCCTCGAGGTGGCCAGGCTAGCATGACAAAATACTTCAAATAGGAGTTCTCTTGAAAGTACCTCAGTATTTAAAAGGCCTTGTCTAACCAATGTGAGATGGCTCATTAATTGTGCATTACAAAGCTGAAGCAGTGGAAATAAGGCTACCTGCCTGGCATCACAGCAGCCCTTATATTGGATGGTGCAACTACATGGTCCTTTAAATAGGTAGGCTTAGTGGTGAGGGTGTAAATGGGAGTAAGAAGCTGCTGTTTGCTGACTGAACTCTGAATTGAGACTGAGAGCAACAATCATTACCCATGCGCCTTAAAAAAAGGCCCGATGGCTTGATGGAATGTATAGGTACTGAGTAATGCTCTGATGCACAGCTCCTATAAAATAACCAGCAGTTTTACACTGTACTTATGTGACACATTACAAGACGTTTCTTAAAATTGCCAAGTCCTTAAACCGATGCCGGCCTAGGTGTCATGCAGAACAAATATAATGTATTAGACAGGAAACATATAATTATGTTGCTATAATGGCAGCTAGAAAAGTTTCAGCTTTTGAGTTTAAAAAGAAAATTGCAGGGCGCCCTGGTAGCTCACCTGGTAGAGCATGTACCATTAACTGAAACCGCAATGGCCCAGGTTCATGTCATCTCTTGTCTCTCCCACCTTTAATGTCTCTCCCTATAGCTGTCACTACCCAGTAAAGGCAAAAATGCTCTGCTACATGCTACACAAACAGAGTTTTCTATAAAGACTATGCACATGTGTTCTTTACTTTTCTTTGTTGTGTAGCATTTCTATATATTCTGGTCATATGGATGACCTAGGGAAATAAGGTAAGGTAAGGTAAGAGTTAGAGATTTTCAACCTCATCTTATTCATGCACTTGTCAACATTGTTAAGAAAAGAAAGGCGTCATCTGTGAGTATGGAAATAAAAAAGGACTGAATCTGCCACAACCTGGCAGCTAAAATGTGAGTGCAGACAAAAGACTGGCCCATTTTTGAGAGTGGAGGCAGACAGATACCAATAGGGGCCTGGGGACCTGGAAATCGTTGGGCTTGGCTGGTATTCAGGGTGAATCAGGGTCAGTAGTACGATGCATGGGCCCGATACAACTCAGGGGAGGAGGACAGAGTGGCATGACTGGAATTAATTCCCTGTGATTGAGGCAATTGCCAAGGTTACTGCAGAGAATCAAACTGTGGAATGTCACAGGAAGTTTTCAGAGGCACAGTATCCTTGGTCACGGCTCATACCAAGGAGATGCTAATGATAGCTTTATCTAGTATCTCTTTGAAAAACTTGACAAAAAGCTTTTCCCACGAGGCAAAACTATTTCTTATGCAAGAACCATCAGAGTCTTATTTCCAAAGATCTATCCAGCTCAGCCCTCTTAAGTATTTTATAATTTTTTGGTGTTCTAGGCACAGTAAAAAGATTCAAGTGAGGAAAGTGAGACATGTATATGTATAAAAATAATTCAGAGACCAAAATTTGCAAAAAACCCAACTGAGAAACAGTCGTGTTTAGCTAAATTAAAATATCTGGTCTCCATGATGCATCAGTGTTTTATTCTAAACATGGGTAATTACATGATGACATTACATTGATTATATTCTTAAGGAATTGATGGCAGAGCTATTATATTGAAGTGCGATCGACTGTACAGGGGTACCTATCACAGTGACCACAACAGCATGCACGCCTACAGCTGTTGTGTAACTTCCGCTTCCTACCACTAGGGGCAGCCACACATGAAGGCAGCACTGAGCGCATTGCTGACGACTGACGATGAAGCAGCTCTGCGGCGAGTGAGCGATAAAGAAACGAACAGCCATCTTGTATTTTAATGAGTTGATGGACTTCACCTGCACTCTGTTGAGTATGCGCTTGTTTTGTGGTTCACAGACGCCTGACATGTGAATAGCAAAGAAAGGAGTGTCTAATTAGCTACTTTATTAGCACCAAATGCCCATTTAGGTAGCATCCAGAAAGTGATAAATTGCCTGACAGTTCAACTTTCTAGTTTGTGACAGTGAAAACCCTGCCGGACAGGTGCTGTTGTCAGTTAGCTTACCTGCCAAGAGTAGCCACAATCGGACATAAGCAGTAAAGATTGTGGTAGTGTTGGAGCAGACACATTAGTCCCACCACCAGCATCAGGGCTGTCAGTAACGTTACCAACGGAAGTAGTGTTTGCTTGGCAAGGCTTGTGAAGGACAGCTCTTGTGGGGCAGATAAAGCGATGGTGAGAGGGAACTCGGTGCGCCAGCAGTCTGGACAAGCTGGAAGAAGAATATGGCCAGCAGCAGCTCCATGTACACAGAGATGGCGGGAATTTGGAAATGAGCTACATTCAAAATGGTGATGAGATAACTCACCTGTTTCAGCTGGATAATCAGAAATGGATTACACTATTCATCTCGGAAAAGTATGTGGCACTATTATGGAGTATGTCAAGAAAGCTGTTCAAGGCCCTGCAGCTTTACATAATAGCACAGATGAATCTGTGGGAAACTGACCTTGACATTGACAGAAACCATCTTCCCTTTGACCTGTATCATTGCAGCCTTCCTAACAAACTGTACGAAGAGAATTGTTTATTTAATCGCCATCATCATATTTTGGCATTGACTACATTGCTGTCATCGGCCCAGAGCTGAGCTGTCATTGCTGGCTATGGAGTCCAACCTGGTGTGATCGATGGACTTTGAGGATTGGATGGATCAGTTTCTGCTCACAAGGTCAAGAAAAAAACTCTTCTAAAGGTAAGACCTTATTCGATTAACTCTGTGCAGTGTGATACAGTTTGGTGGTTAGAAGTTTGTTTATGGTGCATTATTTAGAGCTTGGTTATTGGAAATTTATCATGGCTGGTTTCTGTTTGGTTTGCGCTGCTTGTGATGCTTAACGAACATCCGTTCTGATATGGAATTATTGCAATGTGACATTGTTTTCATAAGCTACAGTTTATGCAGTCACATCCACATTTTGTGCTCCGTGGTCAGTGTTATTGCTCTTTGATAGTCACCTTTGTTGCTATGAGTAGAGTGGTGCTGGGCTGCAGCAGTCATTCCAATCTGTAATCATGCAACATAACAGGTTAGATGTGCATGCTCTTCTTTTTCTATTTTGTCATTTAGGCCTAATTTGGTATGATTTTAGACATGTTGGTGTGTCATAGTGGATATCTGTACATTGGTAGTAAAATGTGGCATCGCTACAGTAGATCTGTTGTGCAAACCATAGTCGTTTACTACTGTAATCATTTAGCATACAGTCATTTTACTCCATAGTTTTACTGCAGAGTAAATAAAAAAAAAACTATATTTAACACACAGGCTTCCTGTCTACTACTATACTATGTACATTAAACAAAAGCTGTTCTGTAAACCATGGTATTATATTGCTATTTATAAATAAAATGCACAGTAACTCAAATAGATAAAATTCCTTCACAATTCTCTAAAGCTAAACATAATATCAAATTGCCAACAATCCTACAGATATTAAAATGTATTTATAATTGATCACTTATCAAAATAGTTGCCAATTAATTATTAACAATACAATAAATTACTGCGCTAACCTCTGTGCAGTCTATGCTGTAGTGAATCTGCTAGATGCACATTAAACTACAGAATATGATACTAAGGTCCTTGTTGTCTTATTCGTTAATGTGATTTATCGGGGTCCAAACACCAAACTATAGACTGCTAGTTCTAGCAGCAAGCCAATGTGCCATAGAGTGGAGAGGTGGATTGTACTACAGTCAGTGTTATAGAGGCTTATATAAACATTTCTCAGGAAAGAGTGTACTACGAGTGCTGAAATAGATGTCAAAATTGTGTGAGAAAGGAGGATGCTTTGCCAAAAAACACACATTTTGCCTCCCTATTAAGATGAAGATTTTGCGCACTACATTGTAGGAAGTTAGGGTTATGACATTATAGATGTAGTAAACATTAATTAGCAAGTTATATTAGTGCTTTTATTTTTATAGTTGGATCAAACCTATTGAAGGTTGCCATGCACTTCTAGTGTGAGACTCACACGGTGGATCAGAGTATTTCTACTCCGCTTGTTTTCTCTCACTCTAATTAAAGCAGAGTCCAGAACAGAGTCTACAGCTGTCAGCAGCAGCCTAGTCAATTTGTTGTGTACATTTATATACATGACGTAGTGCAGCACAGTGATTCTGTGAGTGATGGCTGAGTAGTGACACTCGCAGTGGGGTTAAGACAATGAGAAAAGCAGCAAAAGATGATTTAGGAAATGGCTTAATAAAAACAATATGTTGATGACAGCTACAGTCATTTAGTAATATTTATAGTTTCAAAATATTGACATAAGGCTTATTAGTCTTACCAAAATGAGAGGTAAACATACCATGATAACACAGCAAGTTTGTATACTTGATTAATGTAAAATGATTAAGTAAATTAATATGACCTGTTTCCTGGTGTAATTGTTTCTTTGAATGTGATCATACAACAAGAAAAATAATGCAAAGAGTTTTCCTAATCTAACTGTTGCACAATAAATTCAGCATTATTAGAATTACTCTTAAGTGAAAGGTTGATTCCTAAGTATTTTTTCATAGCAGTTACACTACAAACAAAATGCAGGGTCTTAAAGCCCCCCTCCAATGTATTTTGACATTTCTATCAAATTTCATATTTTTCTGAGTCATTTCCTTACAATGTTGATTACCCACAGTTTGCCAAATATTTTTAGAAAAATGGCTTAATTTTGTGCTCAAAGTTGTAAAAATTGCTTAGTTGTTAAAACAGGGTTGTGACGTATGACTATAGTAATTCCATAAGTCATACGCCATTCTCCCAGCTTGCGCATGCCTCGTTAAAAAACTGTCACGCTGTCACGCCTCGTTAAGTCAGAGCATCAAACTGATAAACTTCGTTGTGAGCTAGCTAACCAATTTATCATGTAATTTACTTAGAACTTACAGTAGGTATGTCTCTGTGTCTGATTGTTGGTTTGTCTTTCTAGTTTAGTTAGCTAATTTAACTAAGTTGTAGTTAGCCAGGTGTAGTTGGGTAGCATAGTTATTGCAGAAAGTTAGCTAACAGAGGGTCTTCATTTTATTTTTGACAGGACCATCGACTGTATGATTGATAACAGCTGATACTCACACATTAGTTTCTATCATGGGTAAATAAGCTACTCCTGCCAGACAGTAAAGTGTACTAAACTTTACAATGTAGTGATGTTAACACAGCATATCGTTAGTGAACACTCCAGCCTGGTTGTCATGGTAATGTGTTAGGTCCGGCTATTAACCACACCCCCATTCTCTGTTTGAGAAGGAACGTTAACCAAAAACGGTGGTTAAAACTGGCTGGAGGGGGCTTTAATCGCATCTGTAGAGGTTGCGCTACAATTAAATTAGGTTTTTGTCAAACATAATGTACATGTAAGGGCCCTCAATTACGAAATAAACAGCAGAATGGGAATTCGCTTTTAACAGTGTTACTTTGCATTTAGAGCACAGTTCATCTGGTCCAAAGGGAATGGAGGTCCGGTCACTGTAAATGTGTGGGTGCTTGACTTGGTGAGAATTACACTGCATTAGAATTGGGATTCAGAGGTATATAGAATATGCTTACATCAACTTTTTATTACAGAGAGGGGGTACAAATTATCCTCCCTAAGAACTTAATTTGTTTTAGTAAACTGTACAGTGGAGAGAGATGAGAAATCTGGCAGAGAGTGATCAGGAGATCCCCGGGAGGTCTCAGATCTGCATATTTTTCTAATTGTGTCACATGCCTCCAAACATAGTGTATACTCAAACCATATTAAGCCATTGTCTTATAATTTATACTTTGAAATAGTCTTTTAATAGAAGTTGCATAAGTTGCGACAATGTTTGAAATACATTTTCTTGACACAAGCACCCCCTGTAGAACTCATCATTGAACTAATCTAACTGTCGCTGTTCTCAACATTGGCACACATTTCAATTGAACCACAAATTAACAGTCACATTTATGGGATGCGAATTGTGACTTGAAAAATGCTGGCAGTATGACAGTGCATACGTAATATCACTTGAATGATGACTGATGGCAGCCACTAACAACCAGTTTGAAATCTAATATGCAAAAGACTGCAAAAATAAACAATACTAAATGGCTCCTTTTATGAAATTTAATATCTGAGCGATGAGAAACACTTTAAAATGCCTACACAAGTGCACAGTACCTGTTTGGAAGCCCAGCTACACTGTAATTTAGATCCTCGTTCTGGCAATGTTTATACCAAATTTTAAACTTGACATCACTATAATCCTAGAAGCATCACATTCTAACTAGAATGAGGTCTTTGATTCTAGACACATTTTGTGAGGATGGTAATTATGTTGACTTATTATTTCAGTTATTGTGAATACAATGATGAATATAACGGTGTTTCCTCTAGGGTTTTTTTCATTCATTTTTTCAAATTACTATTTGACAAACCTACTCAATTAAAAGTATAATTGGACTGGATTGATAAAATGAACTACACAAAGTAGGCTACAAGTTATTTTGTGTTTTAATATTGTTGTTGGCCAGATACCTTTTGTGGAATTATAGCTAAGTGTTTGATCTGCTGTGAATCGTTATTATTAACTGTGTATCAGTTATTTCTAGGGAATGCACTTTGCTTGTTGATCATCTCATATTTAGCCATTTCTGTTTAATACACTTGCAGCCTGCTAATGTTGCCTTTGCCTTTTTTACATGGACATGAAGCCAAGCAAACCACTTGCTCTGTTATGAAGGTGCACATGATCTGCCTTCTCTAAAAGGTCAGGAACCCCATAGATCTGATTATTCCTAAAGTATTTATAATCTTTACAATGCAAAGAATTACTGGGGCAATAACACAGGAGCAGCATGTTGTTTAATGAAGTAGTAAAGCCTACATATTAGAGGCAGGCCTGCGCGTCACACGTAGGACTGTTGTATTCCCTCTGCATCTCAAAACTTGTTTGCTGAATAAATAACAAATGGAGGATTCTGCTAATTTAGTCTCTCAGAATCAATCCAGTGATCATCTGACTTAGATTTTTATTCAGTGCGTAGCCTTCATTTGTTCTGAGACTAAGTAGGCTTTAACACGCCGTTAATGGAAAGTGAAAGTAGTTCTGCAGCTTGTGAACGGGTCCTACAGGCTGCTTTCCAACACGCACAGTGGCACAGTGTGCAATTACTAGCTTTGGGTAACAACCAAACCTTCAATTCAAAAGGTATTTGCCTGATTTTGTAAATGTTTGCATCTGCCCAGCTCATTAATATCTGGCATAAGTACACCGGCTAAAGCTCTTATGCGTAATAACTGCACACACACATCTTGGATGACAGCATATACCAAACGATTATGTGGTGTGACATCCCCATCTCTTTCAGCTGCTGGGATGTCTATTTCTTTGTGTTCTATGTTGCAGATGCCAGTAGGTGTGGTTAAAATCATCAGTTATTGGAGCCACCTGGGCCTGGTGTTCTCCAGTATAAAAGCATGTCTCATGTTCTGCACTGTGGGCTAGAGAGGAGGGAAACCCTGTTCCCTATGCTCCATGCTCCTCCTTATTTTTGTTTCTTTCACCATACAACACTCCACTCACTATTTCTTCAAGCATGCATACCTGCTGACATGACTGACCTATTGATTATCACACTTCATAGGATTATTTGAATATCAAGTTGTTTCTGTTTGTTTAGAAATAAAAGTAATGGTACCATACTGCAGTTTTATGTCATCGTACTGTTCTTTTTTGTCACGGTTTTGAGCCAGCCGTGACAAAATGGGGGCTCTGGGATCCAAAACCATTTGGTAATGTTGAATCTGGCCTACTGTGACAAAAATGGAGCTTGTCCATTATCTTTGTCTGGTAAGTTTTCGAATGCGGAGTTAGAAACTGTTGGCATTCCGATGTTAGGTTTAGGGCTGCAGCTAACGATGATTTTAGTATTCGAAGCTTGTATAGATCATTTCAACGATTCATCGATGTGTTGTTTAAGAAGTACTTTTGCTTGGCTGACTGTGAGGTTACAACTCACAGCCCAAAAAGGAGAACAACAAACGCACATGTGCACATTTACAGTTGAGGGCTGCGGATTACTTTGGTTAGCCTTCAACTCAACAATCAGTCATGATTTCAGTTAAATGCTAAAGTTGCTGTTACTATTACCTTGTCTGTGGTCCGCTGGCAGAACACCGGCTGCTTTCTGATAAGGCGTCGTGCTGTTGCCGAGACGACAAAAGTTTCGTTTTACGGTGGACAGACTGACATTACAGAGTTGTTGTTGTTTTCTTTAGCTTGAAATACACTCACCTAAAGGATTATTAGGAACACCTGTTCAATTTCTCATTAATGCAATTATCTAATCAACCAATCACATGGCATTTGCTTCAATGCATTTAGGGGTGTGGTCCTGGTCAAGACTATCTCCTGAACTCCAAACTGAATGTCAGAATGGGAAAGAAAGGTGATTTAAGCAATTTTGAGCGTGGCATGGTTGTTGGTGCCAGACGAGCCGGTCTGAGTATTTCACAGTCTGCTCAGTTACTGGGATTTTCACGCACAACCATTTCTAGGGTTTACAAAGAATGGTGTGAAAAGGGAAAAACATCCAGTATGCGGCAGTCCTGTGGGCGAAAATGCCTTGTTGATGCTAGAGGTCAAAGGAGAATGGGCCGACTGATTCAAGCTGATAGAAGAGCAACTTTGACTGAAGTAACCACTCGTTACAACCGAGGTATGCAGCGAAGCATTTGTGAAGCCACAACACGCACAACCTTGAGGCAGATGGGCTACAACAGCAGAAGACCCCACCGGGTACCACTCATCTCCACTACAAATAGGAAAAAGAGCTACAATTTGCAAGAGCTCACCAAAATTGGACAGTTGAAGACTGGAAAAATGTTGCCTGGTCTGATGAGTCTTGATTTCTGTTGAGACATTCAGATGGTAGAGTCTGAATTTGGCGTAAACAGAATGAGAACATGGATCCATCATGCCTTGTTACCACTGTGCAGGCTGGTGGTGGTGGTGGTGGTGTAATGGTGTGGGGGATGTTTTATTGGCACACTTTAGGCCCCTTAGTGCCAATTGGGCATCGTTTAAATGCCACGGACTACCTGAGCATTCTTTCTGACCATGTCCATCCCTTTATGGCCACCATGTACCCATCCTCTGATGGCTACTTCCAGCAGGATAATGCACCATGTCACAAAGCTCGAATAATTTCAAATTGGTTTCTTGAACATGACAATGAGTTCACTGTACTAAAATGGCCCCCACAGTCACCAGATCTCAACCCAATAGAGCATCTTTGGTATGTGGTGGAACGGGAGCTTCGTGCCCTGGATGTGCATCCCGCAAATCTCCATCAACTGCAAGATGCTATCCTATCAATATGGGCCAACATTTCTAAAGAATGCTTTCAGCACCTTGTTGAATCAATGCCACGTAGAATTAAGGCAGTTCTGAAGGTGAAAGGGGGTCAAACACAGTATTAGTATGGTGTTCCTAATAATCCTTTAGGTGAGTGTAATCCCATACTTTGGACACTTTCTTTTTTGTCCCTCACTGTTTTCTCTCTTCCCCCACTTTGCAAACAACTCCATCATAATCACGTCGTGTTCACAGCGTAAACGCGATGTGCACCAGTAATAAATGTCCCTGCGAAACACTGTGCTGTATAGTTACATGGATTAAACAAAGCATCGATGCAAAGAATTTGTGGCGAAGCATTTTATGAATCGATTTAATCGATCGTTTCAGCCCTAGTTAGGTTACTACTAGTACTCATGGTTTCACTCTTTTGCACTAATCTGCCTTAGTAAAGGTTTGGGGCTGGCCTTTGGAGGATAGTGATTTAGTCTCATGTATGAAGTAAAGTTGTTAGACTGGGTATAATGCTAAGTACTAGTTTTGGGAAACCTCATAATCTGGAGCTTTGGTTTTGGTTGTTATTGAGTTTCTTTCTGATATTTTTATTGTTTCTTATTTGGTTGGTGTGGTTAGGGTTGGAGCTTTAGTGCTGTCTTGTGTAGGACTAGCAACAGTTTCAGAAATTTTGGTGGCCATGTTGAGTGTTTGTGTGCATATGTTGGAGTTGGAGCTTTCCCTGGTAGGATGAAGGAACGTTTCTCCTTTGGGATTCGTTCATAATATCTTGGTAGTGTTGCAGTGAACATGGTTAGAGCAGTGTCGGGGGCACATCCCTGGACGCAAAGGGGTCGCTGTTTGTGCAGTTGCCTTTCTCGCTCCGGTGGTTTTTAGTGCATAAGTACCTACTGTAATTAATGAAGACTAGAGTTGAAGTTAATAGGTTTCTGGGTAGGTAGTTAGTGGGAAGACTCTGATTTTATAATTTTTGCACACTGGATTTTCTTATGGCCACTGTTGCTACTTTCGTTCGGTCTCCATCTGAGGAGCTAGGAATAGTTGTACAAAAGATGAACTTTTGAAGCTCATTGATTATTATAACAGTGGAGGAAAAACGGGTAAAGGAGGAAATTAAAGGAGTGTTGAGGTCTGCTTTAATGGAAAATGGTATTTTGGCAGCTACGATGCAGAGTCGAGGTGATGGTGTCGGTGAGTCTGTGGTTTGCCCTACAGTAGCTTTAACCTTTTGAGCAACAAAAAGAACTTCTGCTGTTGCAAATGGAAAGGGATAAATTAAGCATAGAAAATGAAGAGCTAAGGCAGTCATTGGAAAGGGAAAAACTGTTCAGATGAGACTGCTAGAGCTGTTGGTTACGCCTCTAAATTTTCTTGGTCTGGTTGAGGAATTAATATTGGCAGTGGGGAATGTTATCCATCTGGGTTAGCATCTGCGACTTGGTGGGTTGGCCTGCTAGCTTTGGTAACATTGTGCTATAGCTCATGCTTTATTAGTATGAGTTTTGTTGTTGCGTTGGATCATTGCGTTGTCCGTCTTGGGTTGACTTGATTGGCTAGTGAGCCTTTGTTCGGAGGAAACTTTTGTTGCGCTAATTTGGTTTAGCTCTTGCATTGTAATTCCAGTTGTGTTCGTTTGGTTGTTGGAATTTTGTCCAGCAGAAGGCCAACTTGTTCATATGAGATGAGCTTCGGGTGCTCATTCTGATGTGAATTTGAGTCGGGGCTACGACCTCAATTTCCCCTCTGTCAGTATTCCTCACTTCTGTGTCTCTAAAAACCGGATCTGGTCGTAGAGGTTGGATAAGTATATCAAAGGCAAAGATAATATTATTGCGGATGCCTTGTCCCGTGCTCCTTTGTAACTCTTGCAATTTAATTAATACTACTTCTATACTGTCCTCTGCTGCCTCTGTTTTCCTTCCTCTTAAATTGCTCCTAGGCGCCAAGGCTGCTGAGGTTGGAGATTACGAGTCTGGAGAGGTATCTATCCATCTGTGTAGAGGTGTTTTGGTAAGGGGCTTGTATGTAAGTGAAGCACATCTTAAACTCCTTGTTTGTTTAAAAATAAAAGTAATGGTACCTTACTGCAGTTTTATGTCATCGTACTGTTCTTTTTTTTGTCGCGGTTTTGAGCCAGCCGTGACAGTGGTTTGTTGGCCCAATTTTTCAGCAGGCCACCGGGAAGACCGGTACTCCTAATCCCCAGTGGTGTCGCTAAATGATTCTACTGCGTTCCACTGACCTGTCTTCACTTTGTGTCAAACTAAAAGCCTTTGCAGAGTTGTGTGCGACTTAATGATGTTTCGTAAAAAATCTGAAGCAGCGGCAGCGATAATTTTGCAGTGACAGGCCACTGCTGCTGAATGTACGTAGCGGAAACTCTGAATATAAATTTTACACCACAAGCCTTTTTAGAGATAGTATACTTGAAATCACCTAAAGGAATACATAACAGAACTAGTGCACCACTGTAGGCATTTCCGTTACACCTTTATTTGAGGGCGAAAAAAATAAATGCCGCATCAGCCGAGATTATTTTGCCTGGAGACCCTAAACTATGGTGCCATTGGAATCAACTCAAAACTCCCCTTTGGCAATGACTTACCAACCTTGGCAAGGTTGCTTTTCCCTGAAAACATCTCTTTGTGGCTGAGGTGTGTTCCATTGTGACAGTTTGCCATTAGGTCTTAGCAAAGTGATTTGGGCAGACAGAAACGCCCTTTGCCCTCCTTGTTTCTTCCCACAAGGCAAAGAGAGGCTCCTGTCTTGTCAAGGTCAACTTCGCTTTCAAGCAGACAGCGTTTCAAACTGCAGGGACTGCAGTCACCTCTGAGCCACCTAGGCGCCTCGCAGAGAGCCTCTGTCCTCTCACCTCTTGCAATTACTCCCTAGAACATCACACTGCTGTTGCATCTGCAGGAGCTGTAAAGGCAGGAGAGATCTATAAACAAAGAGGTGGTTTAGATGTACCACTGACACTTTCGGCCAATTACTCTTGTTTGTGGTCTGCAGTTGGCTGTCTGGAAGGGGGAAAATGGTTCTGAAGTGAAACATCATTGCGGTCCAACTACAGTAAATCTAATTTTGCTAGGTTTGGCCTCCATGCTGTCATTGCAAGTGTGGATTTGTGCAGGATTTGAAGTATAAAGCTGGCATCCATAATTATTTCTAGTGGTTATAAATGCTTGATATAGCCGTCTGTGGAATATTATAAAACGCTCAGAAGAAGCACTTGTACCTTCTTTTTTTTAAGGAGACATTCTCTGCAGCTACTGAGAAATGTAGATCAGCTTGCAGTGTTTTGTCAGGTCGCACTTGGCTGGTTAACATTGCCAG